TATATATACTGTGTGTATATATATTCTATATATATATATATATATATATATATATATATATATATATTCCTCCAAAAAATAAAAAAATAAACATTTTGTGCTCCACAAAAGAACTTAGTCGTACAGGTTTGGAACAACATGAAGGTCAGTAAATGGATTTTAAATGGAAGTAAAGGGAACTATCCCTTTAAGCAGACAGATCTTAAAATAAGCTTTAGATGCTATAAAAGCTTCCTTGCTGTACATAACAGATGCCATGAAAAGTTGTCTGCGCTTGCTTGCAGAGTGCTGAAATGCTACTTGTGAACCCATTCGCTATCCATGGTCCTGAAAGGAACAGCATGCTGGATCTCTTTTGAGGTTTCAGTTTAACATGCTCATTACTCTTTCTTTTCATTGGTGAGACATCTACATGTGCTTTTAAGCCTTTTTTTTTATGTTGTCAATTAAATTTACCTGCAATAAAATGTGCTCTGTTGGTCAATAGATCCATATATACCGTATATGTTCACCAGAAATCATCCAAACCTCACAGTGAAAATATTTGGCATCCAACACATAGTTACAGTCTGAAACTGTTGAAGATTATATCTAAAATAAAGATAGCAGGACCAACTTACCCAGGCATTTGAACAGTTATAAAGTAAATGACATATGGGATGAATCTTTTAAATACATCATTATTAAATCCACATAAGGTGAGTGAGACATCCACTTATTGTAATTTATACAACGATAAAGGTATGATTTACAAAGGTACCACTTAGTTTCACATTCACTTGCAATGTGGTTATGCACAAGCACAACTACAGATGTGTATTTGATGATAAACCTCGCAGCCAAAGAATACATCATTCACAGATTAACATTTCAGAATCGCCTTGCTTTTATTGCAAACAAACATGTGCTGAAAGGTTTGATTTCTTGTCTTTATATACCTGCAAAGGAGAGTCTGTTCATCTTCAGTGAAAGCAAAGATGCACCGATTGATATTTTCCCCAAAGAAACAATTATTCCCTTCATAGACACCTTAATCTGCATCATCTACGTGAAAAATTATCACATCCAAAAATCACTTCACCTTAAAATCATCTGCAAAAGTATAAGGCATTAAAAAAAAACGAAAGAAAAACCAGCAAAAATAAACAAACGTGACAGGTATGCTGCAAGAAAAGTTTCCATTAAAACGTCACCAGGTCTGAAAATGACTTTCGGATAAAGAAAAGACCAAAATAAAAGCAAATGCTTCGCTCGGTGACATCAAAATCACAAAACTCTCATGAACAACAGCGCAAAATACAAGCAAAGCATATCTACAGCAAAAGTCTATGGCAGAGAACAAAAAAAGGAAAAAGGGTTCAAAACAAATATCATCGTACATATGTAAAAATAGACCTGCCAAGGCCATTTAAAAACCAGTTGCATGATTTCACACGACTGCAAGCACGTACTTGGCCAGTGTCACTCAGTACTGAACAGGAATCACTGCATACTAAAAACTTGAGGTACGGATCGAAAAACGCATCAAAACAACACTTTTTCAAATCTCAACGCTCAAACCCCAGCAAAAGGAGAGAGAAAAAAATAAAAAAAGAGCAAGTGAAAAGACAAAAAGGGTTACAAAAAGGCCTGGAAACGTACTCACCGAGTGGGAGTAAAATGTTGCGATAAAAATGCGTTATGGCACAAAACACAGTATGGCGAATGAAGCGCGTTCGTTCTCTCTCGGTCTGCGAGTCCTCGCTGCTGTCACGTGACTGCTGCTGCCTTGAGGCGGGAAGAGGAGCTGACAGGAGACGCCGTTATCATTCCACAATGAGAGTCTTCTGTGATTCTCCCGTTGTATTTTTTACCGTCTCTTTTAAGCTTGCGGAGCTCCCATGATGTCAGACTCAACGTAACGTCTAAAGAGAGCCTCTCAACGCCGTCTTTGTTGTTCTTGCTGTTCGTTTTTATATTTTGCGACGATAAACAAGTAATGTGAGGTGTGTATGTATGTGTATGAGATACTACATCTTGGATAATGTCGTTAATAATGGCATGAAAGGCAGTTTTAGCTCCGTGCTTTTTTTTTTTTTAAGAC